CCTTACAATACTTGGAATATTTTTCTTAAACATTTTAGACTATTTACTTACAGGAAACTTACTCTAGTCTCGATCTCAAATGAATGGGACTGGAAGCAGCCATGCAGAGAGAGGTAACCCAGACCCAGAAAGACAAACATCTCTGTCATATGTGCATGCTAGCTTTGAATCTCTAGGTATGTGTGTGTGAACTGGAAAACCCACAGAACTAGTCAGGAGACATGGAGAGGGGGTTTCCAGGGAGGGAGGTAGAATGGAATGGGTAAAGGAGAAAAGGGAAATAATGAGGGAGGAAGGGTTAAATGGGGTGGGATAGGGAGGGCAGGATGGGGGAGGGTGTATGGAGAGGGACAAGGGCCTTTGGAAAAGTCATATGCGAGTCTACTTCTTAAAATGTATACATATTCATATCTAAAAACGGGTTAAACGAAGTTACCCTGTAATTGGGGACAGTGCCCATATCAGATGCTACAAGTTAGCAAAGAAAAGATTCAGTGTCAGGAATGGACTCCTTGCTTTCGGAATTCTTGACCAGGGAGGTCTCATAGACAATCAAACAATACTGGCTATGGCCATTGCTCTTGGTTGTCCTCCAGAACTTGATGGTCATCCTCTATTGCTGAAGACAATCCACATGTGAGTCATAAAGCCAATGTGGATAAATCAAGTTGGGACTGACTTTGAAGTTTCATCTCTACCGGATAACTTGATATTCCTGGAAGGTGCTATGCATTGGTACCAGACGAGAAAACGAATCATGAACCTCAGTCAGCTGTGAACGCTGGGAGCTACAATAACAACTGGTCTGGCAAGCTCTGGCCACAGGTCCAATAGTGGTGCAAATGTTATGGGGGTAACCAGCCACTTTCTGATTGAATTTAAGGCTGGCCTCACAAGATGGAGCCCATAGATGGCACTGTCATGAGGACCAAATCCTTTATCCTGTGAGAGATGCGCATAGGATCAAGCTAACTCCTAAGGACTTGTTGTTATACCCATAAGTCAATGCATACCTCAACTGTCCCCAGATAAGCTTCTTTTTTGCAGCAGATGGTGATTAACACAGAGGTCCACAACTGGCCAATGTGCAGAAAATAAGTTGTAGAGTGTGGGGCCCTGCCTGGGATGCCTACACCACACCCTCTTCACAAGGCTCAGGGATCTAGTACCGAGTTGGGAGCTGGCACAAGAAACCCTGATGTTAGCTGAGGAACTATTGATAATTGAAACTATGGGGAGCGGCCTGGGACAAAGACTTTTACAAGATGGCGCCGATATCCGGCTAAGATAGAAGTAAACAACCTAATAGAGCATGCGCTGGAAATTCCCCCGCTTTAGGGCCAGAAGCGCTGAAATCAGGTGACCCAATAACCTATCGCCACGTACTAGGCGAGGACAATTCTCTATATAAGCAACCTTGGGCTATGGGTTGGGGTCGGTCTTCTGGTCTTGCTTAGGGGCTTTTGCACTGCCTGTCGAGATGCAATAAAGCCATTCTGCAGAAGAATCCTGATCGTGTTCTCCTCTCTGTCGACCGTGCCTGCCGGCGGGGTGGTCGGGAGTAGAGCGAGCAACATGAAACATTCTTGAAGAGAGAGATTCAGTTCTGTTTGCAGTTGTAAGACTGGGTAGTACCACACCCTCTTCACAAGGCTCAGAGATCTAGTACCGAGTTGGGAGCTGGCACAAGAAACCCTGATGTTAACTGAGGAACTATTGATAATTGATACATTCTTGAAGAGAGAGATTCAGTTCTGTTTGCAGTTGTAAGACTGGGTAGTTTGACCAGGCTCCAGGGGGTGGACCCACACGCACTGAGGAGTTTTTGGAGAACACAAATTAGACTCAATAGATGTTAAAAAATAATAGAAGACAGGAAGTGAGGGGGTAGGGAGGTGGGCATGTATCTGAGGAGATGGGGGAGGAAGGTCTGAATATGATCAAAATATGTTGTGTGATATTCTCAAAGAATCAATAAAATATTATTTTAAAAATCAACAAACATGTATTATATATACAGGTATCAATAGTCTTCAAGGCAGTCTCTCTTTAATTTTTATTACTTGGTGCATGTATGCAGGGACATGTGGCGGTCAGAGGACAAAGGTCGAGTTTCTTCTCTCTCTCTCTCTCTCTCTTTTAGGAAGACAATGGCAGAAAAAATACATTGTTTCAAGTATAAAATCAAAACAAAATCAAACTCTGAAATAATGTATACATGATCCAAGACAAAATGTTAATAGTCTACATTGTACAAATACACGTATGTGGATAAGAATGTATACATAGACCTATCCCACCATATGTCAATAACAGAAGGGACTGGAAGGAATCCCAAACCATAACGTTTGTTAGCCTGTGGATGGGAGTTGGAAGGAAAAGGTGAAACTGGGTATTATTGTCTTTTGTGCAAATATTGTGCAACTGTATTTGCATTCTTGCTTGCAAATGTAACACATATCACTTGATCACTTAGAGATACAAAGACTAAAATAAGAATTGGCACTGACTTCACTTTTTGAATCTGGGGTTAAGAAGGTCTCAACAGAGCACTCAGTACATGTACTCCAACACTGCTACAAAGAAGAGAACTTCACTGGGCTGGTAAAGATGGCTCTGCAGGACAGGGCACTTACCCCCATGCTTGAAGACCTGGGTTTGAGCCCCAGAGCCCACTTGGTAGAAAAAGGGAACTGAGTCCTGAAAGTTTGTACACACACACACAGTGTAAAAAAAATCTCAAAACAAGGTCACTTCAATTGTCACCTATGAAAACAATCACTAGATAGAAATTGTTCTGAGGTAAACTTATAGGTCTATGAGCCCAATTTTTATTTTTTTATTGAACTTTTGCAAAGTTCATACAATATATTTTGGTCATATTTCAATCCCCTCATCTATCTGCAACCCTCTTAACCTGACCTGAGTTCATGTACTCTGTTACATATACTAAGGCCTAAAAAGTCATATTTATGTTGGTGTGGGTCCATCCATTTCAGCCTTGGTTAACCTATCCAGCATCACAAATTCAAGGAAAACTGACTCTCCCTTTCTGTGCTGGATAGCTTTAGTGTCAACTTGCCACACCTGGGTTGAGGGAGCCTCAATCGGGGAATTTCCTCCATTGGACTGGCCTGTGGCCATGTCTCTGGGGCATCTTCTTGATGAGTGATGTGGGAGGGCCCAGCCCACTGTGGGTGGTGCCACCCCTGGGCAGGTGGGCCTATGTAGCATAAGAAAGCAGGTTGAGCAGGGGCCAGGGGAGCAAGCCAGTAAGCAGCGTTCCTCCATGGCCTGTGCTGAAGCTCCTGCTTCCAGGTTCCTGCCCTGAGTTCCTACCTTGAGCTCCCTGATGAACTGTGACCTGGGATATGTAAGACAGAAAAACCCTTCCCTCCTCAAGTTGGTATTGGTCAGAGGATTTTGTCACAGCAAGAAGAAACAAACTAGGACACTCTCTCAGCAGCTATTGGCTGCCAATAGTTCTTCAATTAGGGTATTATATATGGTAGACATCACTCTTGTACAATTAATCAACATCCCAAAATATGGTCAGTGAGTAAAAGAAACGTCACTGTAGCCATGGTTACTACCCTCGGACAGCATTAACTGACAGGTGGTATATGGTAATCACATGGTCTCCATGAATACCTGGAGCTGTGGCTTTGGCCCTTGGTCAAGATAAAAGTGAAATATAGTAACTAGTGATTAGTGATTCACATATTGGCTCATTTATGTTGTTTAAAAAAAAACTTTTATTTTTTATTGTGAGTGTACTGCTTGCATGTGGGTAAGCGCACCAGTGTGGTGCAATGCCCATGGAGGACAGAAGAGGGCGTTGGATAACCTGGAACTGGAGTTACAGACCTTTGTAGCCACCATGTGGGTGCTGGGAATCAAACCCAGGTCCTCTGCAAGAGCAGCCAGTGCTGAGTCATCTCTCCAGCCCCTTACATTGTTTTTACAATCTAACTTGTTTAAAAAGTCTGCTTTGGGCCATGAGACCCATGGATATGAAAGAACTTTCAGTAAACTTGAACTTTGGTTTGTCTGAAACTGGAGATGCTCACATATAGTGGTGGTTGTGACCTGGAGGCAAAATGTGTCCCTTGTGGATATAAAAATATCCCTCAAATCTGCACCTGCATGTCTCAGACCATCTTGACGCTGATCTGTATTTTACTGTTTTGAGTCCTTTCAGCAGCTTACCCTTGGGTAACTGCTATAACTGCAATCACTTAACGTAAAGCCTAGTGGATAGAAAGGACTGTTTTTCCCCTTAGACAGGGCCTCACTATGTATCACAGGCTAGACTCAAATTTGAGATCCTCCTACCCAGTGTGAGGATCAAGTTTGGGGACCAGGGACAGAGGGTCACACAGAGCTGGGAGATTAAAGATGCTTGAAGCCACTGGAAATTGGAACATACTTTATTTTCTCCCAAGAACATTTTGCAGGAAATCACATCAAGTAGCTTCTTGCCAGAGCTGGTTATGTAACACGTCACCTTTGCTTACTCATGGTTCCCTGGACATCCTGTAGCAGCCATCTTAATGAAATCATCCTGGAAATCCAGTCACCACGTTGTCTAGACCTCTATCTGCCCCTGGCAGCCTTCAATCCCTTCTCTCAGCCTCCCAGATAGCTAGTAGTACAGGCACGCAACCACTATGTCCAGTTCTAAGAAATGTAATCTTATAAAAGTACACTCAGGCTTAATGCAACTTACCCTTTATTCTCCATTTAAGAATTTAGGCACTGTGTGGTAGCACATGCTTTTAATCCCAGCACTCCAGAGGCAGAGGCAGGTGGAGCTCTGTGAGATCAAGGCCAGCCTGGTCTACATAGATAGCTGGGGCTACAGGGAGACCCTGTCTCAAAAAACAAAACAAAAAAAAACAGAAACAAAAACAGAAAAAACATGCTGAGCCCAGGTGTGGTGGTGCATGCCTTTAATCCCAGCACTTGGGAGGCAGAGGCAGGCATTTCTTTGTGAGTTTGAGGCCAGCCTGGTCTACATAGTAAATTCCAGGACAGCTGGAGCTACAAGGAGACCATGTCTCAAAGACAAAACAAAAACAAAAACAAACCAAAACCAAAAACAGAAAAACAGAATTTAGACTTTCCTGCCTTCTAAGGAAGACACTAACACAACTCTAATATTTGGGTTATGCTCTTTGTAAGGGAAGCATACCTAGTGTGTGAAAGAAACAGAAATATATTTTATCTTACCACAGGATCAAGCCATAATATCCAAATCAAGTTATATCTATCTATCTATCTATCTATCTATCTATCTATCTATCTATCCATCATCTATCTAATCTATCATCTCCATCTATATATATATGTGTATAAGTATACACACACACATATATATTGACTACATTAATATTAAATAGCTCCCTATTCAGTATCAGGGACAATCTCTCAGTCCATGTATATTCAAATGGGCACACAATCTGTGAAGCTGTGAAGGGTGACCTTCCTCAACGCTAAAGTACCCAGTTGTCTAAACAATATCCTTTCTAATGATTTCCGTATTTCATCCACTCTGACATTTTTGGTTATATAGTAAGGCACTATTTTGAGCACTAAACTTTCCTATAACTATAACCAGTGACTTGTCCTCTGCTACATTTTAATGTCAGCACTAGTAATACATGGAGGGAATGTCTATTTTAGAACAGAGGCGATAAGGTTTTAGTCAAGGAAATCCCAGCCCACCCAGATCAATTTATAAATGCCCAAGGACAGTGGAGGGAAAGTTGTCCATCACTGCATTGAGATTTCTTACAAAAAATGATTTACTAACACCTGCAATTTCCAAATATGAACAATAATTTTTATAACAAAATACATATAAAATGCTTACATATTCAAATATTATTCTGATTTGCTTTTCTTCTGACATGCACATTTATTTACATATCCAATACTTCCTACAATACTGCCGATATCAAAACAGAAGAAAAATGATTTTTCCCATAAACTGAAATTCATGAGCTGTGATCCTGGATTCATTTAGGTGCAGAATTTCTTCTTCAATGTTAATTCTCTGATCACAGTACAGCTGAGCTTTGTGCTGACAACATCCACACAATCACTACATTTACAGATGTCGTTACCTGTTTATGCCCTCTGGCCTAAATTCAAACGGTTACATTCTGCCTGGCACTATTCTCTAATCAGAAATGACATGTAACTTTGAAGAGAAAGCTTATCTACATTTGCTGACTTCCTCGGTAAGCTCTGTGGTATAAAGAGCGAGTCCCTTTCTCTGCATTCATGACTTCTTTCCTTTGTGAGTATTCTGATGTAGAAGGAGGCTGAACTTGTGGGAGAAAGTTTTCCAACACTCAGTACATTCATAAGTCTTCTCACCTGTTTGAGTTCTTTGATGTGTAATGCGATGGGACTTCTGGCCAAGGGATTTATGGCATTCACTGTACGTAGAGGGTTTCTCTCCTGGATGTGTTTTCTGATATAAAGCCAGGCTACGCTGCATGGGAAAAGTCTTCCCATATTCACTGTGTCCGTAGAGTTGCTCTTTTGCATGGATTCTCTGATGAATCATGAGATTGAACTTGTAAGAGAACATCTTCCCACATCCAAGGCATGTATATGGTTCCTCTGCAGTGTGAGACTTCTGATGGGTGGTGAGATAAGACTTCTGGGTGAAAGATTTTTGACACTGACTGCATTTATAAGGTTTCGTACCTGCGTGAGTTCTTTGGTGTAGGATGAGACTGAACTTGATCGGGAATGCTTTTCCACATTCATGGCATCTCCAGCTCTTCTCTCCCATAGTTCTCCCGGGGGCACTGCAAAATGATTGCACACCAAAGTGTTTCCCACACTCACTGCAAAGATAAAGTTTCTCCCCAGTGTAAGTTCTCTGCTGTCTAACGAGCTCAGATCTTTGGTTAAAGGCTTCCCCACACTGACTGCATTCATATGGTTTTTCACCTACATGTGCTTTTTGATGTAAAATAAGGCTAAACTTCAAGGGGAAAGTTTTCCCACATTTATCACAGGCATAGAGATGCTCTTCTGTGTGGACGCTCTGGTGACTACTGAGCTGTGAGTTACTGCTGAGGCTTTTCTGACATTCGCCACAGTGGTAGGACTTCTCTATATGAGTTCTCTGATGTAAAGCAAGTTGTGATTCTTCACTGACGCTTTTCTGACACATCTGACACTTAAAGTGTTTCCCTCCTGTGTGAGTTTTCTGATGTTTATCAAGGCATGACTTATCTGAAAAGACTTTCCCACATTTATTGCACTTATCAGGCACATGGGTACTCTGGTGTGATGTAAGATGGGACTCCTTGGCAAGGGATTTCTGACATTCTTTGCAGCTGTAGAGTTTCTGCCCTGTGTGCGTTACTTGGTGCTCAGTGAGGTGTGACTTCTGGGGAGACGTTTTCCTATCATTGCTGCAGCCAGGCTTCTCTTCTCCTTGACCTTCCCAGTGTTTGATGAGCTCTGACTTATGACTGACAGTTTGCACGCATTCATTATGGTCATTGGGCTGTTTTCCAGTATGAATTTCTTCAGGTTTAATATCAGGAAAAGAATGATCCCATCCATTAAGTTCAATTTCATCTCTTGTATAGCTTCCATTCCAGACAATGCGCTCTGTATTAGGTTTCAAATGTTCCCCAAGTGTATCAAACGTAGGAGATCTCTGTGCTGGAGAGATGGCATGCTGGGAAATAGGAGGAGGTATTTTTCCAAGGTCATCATGTTTGGAGTCTCTCTTGCAAGCTTCAAGGCTGCACTGGTTTTCTTGGCACCATTCTGTAGCATCACTGTCTTGCCAGGAATCTTCTAGAAGGAAGACCAATGAATCTACTGTGATCATGTAAATAGGAAGGGGGCAGAGTCCCGTACCATGAGAGAAGTGAGATTGGACAGAGAATGGAAGTCTGAGGTATTTTTAAGTTGAAAAGGAGAGAGAAGGTACAAGACAGATCAGATATGCAAAAATATGTGGAGAGAATAGTTATGAATGTTTGATTGGATACAAGGGAGCTGTGGCCATGGGTTTAAGAGGGGGCAGAAGGAGAGTAAACTAAAGGTCCACAAAGAAGGGTTAACTAGGAAAGAAGAACCAAAACGGGATCTGGTCAGAGCAACACAAGAAACGTCTTCTATGCACAAACCCAAACAACAACAAAAAAAACCCCAAACAACAAGTAAACAAACAAACAACAGCAGCAAAAGGCAGGCGGTAGATTCGAACGTTTCAGGAGGTCAAGGTCATCCTTGGGTACATGGTGAATTCAAAGCCAGCCTACACTATCGAGTGAGACCATCTCAAAAAACTAAAAAGGGAAAAAAAGAGATTTTAAAAGGAGGCTATTGTGATGGTTTGAAAGAACGTGCCCTACAGGCTCCAAGTATTTGGACATTTCGTCCTCAGTTGGTGGTGCTGTTTTGGGAAGCTTTAAGAGGTATGACCACACCAGAGGAACCATGTCTTGGGGCGGGCTTAGCGGGATCTTAAGCCTTCCCAGATTTCCAGTTGCTCTTGGCTTCTTGTGCCTGCATGAAGATGTGATAATGCTGGGCTATCTTCCTGCTCTGGCAACCCCTACCCACTGCCATGACAGACTCTAATTCCTCTGGATCCGTAAGCTCAAACTCTTCCTTTTATAAGTTCCCTTGGTCATGGTGCTTTATGACAGCCACAGAAAAGTAACTAAAGCAGTTATGATCTGGAAAAGAGATCTAGTAGATTTTTAAAGTGGAGGCACACAGCTGGGCAGGATAACCTAAACTTATAATCTCAGTACTCATGCGGCTGGGACAGTAGCAGTGCCAGGAGTTGACGAGACTAGCCGGGGTTATACAGTGAGTTCCAAGCCAGCGTGGACTACAGAGTAGGACTCACTCAAAAACAAAAACAAAAAACCCCAAAAACCAAAAACCAAAAAAAAACCCCAAAACAAAACCCAAGCCAGGTATGGTGGTTCACACCTTTAATCCCAGCACTCAGGAGGCAGAGGCAGGTGGATATCTTCGAGTTTGAGGCCAACATAGCAAGTTCCAGGATAGTCAGAGCTAAATAGTGAGATCCTTTCTCAAAACAAAATAAAACAGAAAACAAACAAAAAACCGACAGGGGGCTGGAGAGATGGCTCAGCAGTTAAGGGCTTGCTGTTCTTTTAGAGGACCTGAGTTCAGTTCCCAGCATGTATCAGACCATTCGCAACCACTTGTGACTCTAGCTTTGGGGAATCTGATACATCTGGCACATACCTACACACAGGCATATTAATTAAAAAAAAATTTTTTTTTTGTCTTTTTGAGACAGGGTCTCCCTGTAGTCCCAGCTGGCCTGGAACTCACTATGTAGACCTGGGTGGCCTTGAACTAAGAGATCCGCCTGTCTCTGCCTCCTGAGTGCTGGGATTAAAGGCCTGTGCCACCACACCCAGCTAATTAAAAAATAATTTAAAACATCTTTAAAGGAAGCAAATGGGAGGACTGGTGGGATGGCTCAGCTGGTAATTCAGCAAATGGACTGTTCTGTCACAATTCCCACTGAGGTAAGATTCTTGGAGGGAAGCTCCTTAAGGCAGGTAAAACAGGATGTTCTAAGGGGAGGTGAAACTTTCCATCCTGCAGGGAAGCTCATTAAGTAAACAACTCCATAGTGTCAGGAAGTCCCTGACCAGGTCTAGTAGGACTGCTGAGTGATCTCAGACCCCACGCTTTCCTGGCAGAGAACTGCCCAAAAAGGACTCTCTCCAACCCGTGTAGCTGCCTGCAGGCTGTGCAGTGTGCTCCAGGAGTCCTGCTCCCAGGCTGAGGGTGGGCTTTGGGTCATCTCTGTTTCCCTAAGTAACCCCTCACCCACACTCTTGTGAATAATCCCAACAGAACTCACTGGTGCACAGAATTGGACTGTGGTGGTATTCTGTTACAGAGTCTGAAACCACTGGGAAAAGACCACCAGACCCAATTCAAATTTTAATTGGCCAAATTTAATAGGGCTCTAGCTGTCTGTGGTCCCATAAGCTCAGATTCAGGTCCCCTAAGTCAGATTCAGGACACATGCCCTGAGGGGAGGGTGAGACTAACTAATAAAGGCAAAACCCACAAACACCATAGGAATTTCATCATACACGAGTAAAGCCAGGTGGTCCTGAGTAGGTCAGGATGGCCCAAGTTAGCAGATAAGCAAACTACAGAAGCCAGAACAAGCTTGTGTTAGTCCTTCTCTTGACAGATGTACAGAGACCTTGACAGTGAGGAACTTTCTGATTACTGTTGTTGTTTTAGGCTCCTTGGCCAGGCAAGAAGCACAGCTACAGCGTCTGGGAGGTGCCCAAGGTCAGCCACTCCAAAGAAAGCACTCTTCTAGGGGAAGCAGCTAAGTTCAGACCTGACCTTGAAGCCCGCCGTTGTTCTAGCTTTTGAAGTTTTAAGTGGCTGCTTTATACAAAACGAAGAAAATGAAGTTACTTTGGCTGCTATGATTTGGGGACTCCATTTGGGGCTGTTACAATCCTGACTTTGATCTGCTGTGAATTTCCTACCTTGCGGGAGCAGACATTCATGTGTCCTTGGAAAGTGTCACACAACAGACAGAGAAAGAACAAATGGACACACTATTCTGCTATTTGGGGCGTTCATGTCACCGGTTCTGAGTCATGATCAGAGTATCAGAGCTTCAGTAACATGTCCCAGGTGCCTCCTATTTCTAACCAGTTGGGTCATTCCTTCCGTTCCTCCTGAAGGACTGTAGTTTTTCACTTACTTGAATGAATGTGACTTTGGATTTCTTCCTGTACCATCCACGGTTCTCCTTGTTCCAAGAGAAGGAATCCATCTGTGCTGGCAACTTGATACCCTACAGAAGGAAAGTAGAGGACCATGGACCCAACCACTCGGCTTCAGGGCTCTGAAAAACGGCAGAGATTCGTAAGGCTGAATAATTTGGATTTTAGTCACATATAGGCCTTTCTCTTCAGAGGTGCAAGGGAAATTTTTCAAATAATATTTTATTTATTATTTTTATTTTATGTGTATGAGTGTATTGCCTGCATGTAGGTAAGTGCACCCGTGTTGTGCAATGCCCGCGGAGGTCAGAAGAGGCTGCTGGATCCCTTGGAACTGGACAGTTGTTAGCTGCCATGTGGGTGCTGGGATTCGAATCTGGGTCTTCTGCAAGAACAGCATTCTTAACCGCTGAGCCATCTCTCCAGGCCCACGAGGAAAAAATTTTTAAAAACTCTTGCTAGAAAAGATAGAAGCTCAGTGGTAGAGTGCTTACTTAGCACATAGAAGGCTACAGATTCAATCCCCAGAATCACAATAAATAATAAATATATAAACAAACAAACTAAAGCACTGTGAGGCTTCACATCTTTAATTATTGAGAAAATAAAGTCAACCGATCACCCGCGTTGCCCCCAAAAGCTCTGCTTACCCACAGATACCAGGTTGCTATAATTTTCCAGCATCACATCTTGGTACAGTTTCTTTTGACCAGAGTCCAGTAACTGCCACTCTTCCAGGGTAAAGCCCACAGCCACATCCTTGAATGACAGCGAGCCCTGTAACAGAACACTATCATTCATTCCAAAGGATTGCCATTGGTGGGATTATGAAGATAAGGCATTTCTTTTTTAAAAAAATATTTATTATTTTTATGTGTATGTGTGTACTGCCTGCACGTAGGTAAGTGCACCCATGTCATGCAATGCCTGCAGAGGTCAGAAGAGACTGTCGAATCCCCTGGGACTAGAGTTACAGACAGTTGTTAGCTGCCATGTGGGTGCTGGGATTCAAACCCAGGTCTTCTGCAAGAACAGCTAGTGTTCTTAACCGCTGAGCCATCTCTCCAGCCCCAAAGATAAGGCATTTCTTAAAACATTTCCCATGGCAAGGCATTCAGCTGTTTTTCAGGTAACTATTTTTGGATTAGATTTTTTATTTAGAATATTCTCTCTTGGGGCTGAAGACATGGCTCAGTGGTTAAGAGCACTGGCTGCTCTTTCCAAGAACCTGAGTTCAGTTCCCAGCACCCACATGGTGGCTAATAACTGCCTGTAACTCCAGTTCTAGGGGATCCAATGCCCTCTTCTGGCCTCCATGGACACTGCACACACAGGTGCACTTACATACATGCAAGCCAAAGACATACATGAAGAGAACAGCACGGACCGTTCTTAACCTCTTCTGTGCTGTTCTCCTCATGAACACATAAAATAAAAATAGATAAGTGATTTTTAGCTGGGTGTGGTGGCGCACGCCTGTAGTCCCAGCGCTTGGGAGGCAGAGGCAGGTGGATCTCTCTGAGTTGGAGGCCAGCCTGGTCTACATAGTGAGACCCTGTCTCAAAAACAAAAAAAGCCAAAATATCCTTTCTTTGTAGTGCCATTCAGTCATTCAAGTGTTCCATCATTCATTCACAAAAGAGAAGCCGAACACATGGTGGCACCTGGAGCCTAAGGTTAACCAGTCCTGTGCTCAGCTCTGCCTATGTTATTGAGCCTAAATAACCTCAAACACTTAGGCTCATCGGAGCTCAAGTGTTTGGTAAAACTCTATGTATACTGTCACACATCATAGCTGAGAGTTAAATGGTGCCACATGTCTGCACTGGGAAAGGACAAATGGGAACTTTCACGTGGTGTCTCCTGGACCTGGTCTAGGTACCCTTGTCTGTTCCTGATTTTAATTTACTCTATATTATTTCACTGTAATAAAAAGCAAGCACAGGTAAAACAGTCTTACTCCTCGGCCCACTGAATAGGATAGGATGACAGCTACTGGGGTGCTCTATGATTCAGCAAACTGGAGCTGGGACTATTAGAGACATGTCTGCAGCTTCACTTTATTGACTGTAGAACCTCATGAGCTCTGATCTATGTTATTACTACTGGCAATTTACATAAACATGATTTACAAGTTCTCAGTTCAGCCTGGCTCTACTATCAGGCTGGTCGTTACTCCCTCTCAATCTCTCTCTCTCTCTCTCTCTCTCTCTCTCTCTCTCTCTCTCTCTCTCACTATACATACACTTCTCTCTCTTTTTATTTTGGAGAAAAAAATCTCCCTGTAGCCCCAGTTGGCCTTGAACTCACTATGTAGACAGGCTGGCCTGGATCTCGCAGAGATCTGCCCTTGCCTGGCCTCCTCCCCTACCTCCACCTCTGCCTCCTGAGTGCTGGGATCAAAGGAGTATACCACCAGGCCAAGCCCATTTCTGATATTTTTGTATCTGTGCTGCATTCAGCATGGTGAACTCCTTACAAACAGTGAACAAGCATAACATTTGTGCTGGATAGCTTTAGTGTCAACTTCACACACATTCCCTCAATTGGGGAATTGCCTCCATAGGACTGGCCTGTGGCCATGTCTGAGGGGCATCTTCTTGAAGAGTGATGTGGGAGGGCCCAGCCCACTGTGGGTGGTGCCACCCCTGGGCAGGTGGGCCTGTGTTGCATAAGAAAGCAGGCTGAGCAGGGGCCAGGGAGAAGCCAGTAAGCAGCGTTCCTCAATGGCCTGTGCTCCAGCTCCTGCCTCCGTTCCTCAATGGCCTGTGCTCCAGCTCCTGCCTCCAGGTTCCTGCTCTGAGTTCCTACCTTGGGCTCCCTAATGAACTGTGACTTGGGAGATGTAAGCTGAATAAACTCTTTCCTCCCCAAGGTGGTATTGGTCAGAGTATTGTGTCACAACAATGGAGAAACAAACTAAGACAACATTCTTTTATTACAAGTATTACCAAACCTCTTGAAAGCCACTGAAAAAAACAAGTTAGAAACAAATATATAAATGAAGAACTCACTTGGGAGGTGCACATCTTTCTGGAGCCCCTGGGCACTGCCAGTCGCTGTACTGTCTTGTAGGTTGACTGTGGACTCCCTCTGAAGCTGGCCACTGCTGGAGAATGAAGTGTTTCTTGTGATATAGTCTTTCTTACTCTCATAGGAACTATATGATCTTTAGAAGCTAGAACCCGAGGGTTAAAGAAATATTTGTATCAAGGACAATGAGGGAGG